CAGAGTCTCACTGTGTTGCCTGGGCTAGAGTGCCGTGACATCAGCCTAGCTCACAGCAACCTCAAACTCCTGGGTTCAAGCAATCCTTCTGCCTCAGCCTCCCGAGTAGCTGGGACTACAAGCATGCGCCACCATGCCCGGCTAATTTTTTCTATATATCTTTAGTTGTCCAATTAATTTCTTTGTATTTTTAGTAGAGATGGGGTCTCGCTCTTGTCAGGTTGGTTTCGAACTCCTGAACTCAAACAATCCGCCCGCCTCGGCCTCCCAGAGAGCTAGGATTACAGGCATGAGCCACTGCGCCCGGCCCCTCTTCCACTTTTAAGGACACTTATTATAATACATTGGGCCCACTGGATAATTTAGGATAATCTCCTTATCTTAAGTCATCTGATTAGCAACCTTAACTCCACCTGCTGCCTTAATTCCCTTTTGCCATGTAACCAAACATATTCATAGGTTCCAGAGATTAGGACGTGGGCATCTTTGTGGGGACCATCATTCTGCCTACCACAGATGGTGCCATGTAGTTCATTTTGCAAAGCAAAATACTCTAGAATACTGACAAGACTTGTCTTGCTCAGGCAGGTGCTAATGATTAAAAAATGAAGAGGCAGCATAGATATGAAGGAGCACCTGCATGAAGAGGATGTTTTATACCAAGGGAACTCCCAATTTCCTGCTGATAAACTCTCTAGCCATCCTTTTTTCCTTTCCTTACAGTGCAGTGAGAGAGAGGTCCTCCTAATCTAAGGCCATCCCTGATCCTGTGCTTCGGACCCCTTTCTCTCACCTTCTCAGGGATCTTGTACCATCACAGTGCCCCCTCTCTGTGGTACCTTCAACCTCTCAGTTTCTAATTTCATCAGCATTTACAACATGCTCAGTTCTCTCCCATCTTAAACAGAGTCCCTGTTCCTTGACCTTGCATCATCCCTTAACTGCAACTTTGTATCCCTACCATAAACTGCCTGTAAGACTTACAGAAACTCACTATTTCCATTTCCTTACTTTCCATTCATTTCCTCACCCCCTGACAATCTGGCTCCTTTCCCCATCACTAAAGCAAAGCTGCCTTCATTAAACTCCCTGTTGCTAAATCCAACATGCACATCTCGGTGCTTATGATACTGGTCCTTTTGGAATCACACAATACTTTTGATTATAGCATCCTTCTTGGAATACTCTCTCTCCACTGGCTCCTGTTAATCTCTCTTCTTTCTCTTCTCACCACTCAAGTTGCTCCTGCTTAGTGTCTTTTATAGGTTCCTCTTCCTTTACCCATTCTCTAAAGGATCCCCTCTTTCTAAACTTTATTTCTTTATTGTAGTAAAATATACATAATGTAAAATTCGCCATTTTAACCTTTTAAGTGTATAGTTCAGCCCTCTTTTCATTCTACATATTCCCCCTGAATACTTGTCCATTCCTGGGACTTCACCTAACATAAACGAAGGCCTCCAAACCCACTTCCCTAGTCTGCATTTCTTTCAGAAGCTCCAGATCCTGCTGCCTACTGAATATTTATACTTGTACATACTATAGACATCTCAAACAGAACATGTTCCAAACTGAAATCATCTCTCCTCCACAACCCCTCACCCCTACCCACCAATCAGTTTCTCCCCTCCCATGTTTCTAGTCTCAGTGAATGTTTGCTTTTTCACCTCTGGTTGCCCAATCAGAGTCACCCTTGATTTCTCTCCATACTCCTCATAGCCAATCAATCATCATAACTTATTATTTCTATTTCCTTCCTAATTCCTGAATTTGTTTACCTATCTTCATTCTTACTATTAATTTAGCCAATCATTGCTCATTTGGATTATTTCAAACACCTACCACTACTGATTCCATTTCTACCCCTGTCCAATTCCTTCTCCACAGTGGGGCCAAAGTGATCTTCTGAACTATATCTCTGATCAGGCCACCCTCCCTGATTAAAGCCCTCCCATGGCTTCCTGTTAATCTCAGGATGAACCCTGATCTCGTTCACATGCTATATATGCCACATCCTTATCTTTCCAGCCCTATATCTCAACTCTCTCTCCCTTAACATTGGAGGAATTACCCATGACACCACCAACAGGTCACATTGTCTCTTACCTTTATATTCTACTCTCTGCTTAGATTACTCCCCCCCTTCGTTTAGCCGGAAAATTTCAGATTAGTTAGATGTTATCTCTTTTAGGAAGTCTTCCTCAATGTCTAAACTCCATTAGGAGTTCTCCTATGTATTTCTGCACCACCTGGCACTAACTCTTATGGAGACACTATTACGCTGCACTGAAATTGCCTGTTTAGTTGTTGTCCTCTGCCTCTCATGAGCTAGGAATGCCTTGAGGGCAAGATTCCCTTACTGCTGTATCCCAATGCCTAGTATGGTGGCTGGCACACAGTATGTACCAGATACATATTTAATGAATGATTTACAGAGAGAAAGAAGCAAAGGCATTTCAGACAGAAAGAATGGCCAGGATAAAGACTCAATTTTTTGCAACACACTCACATTGAAAAGCAATAAGAGATACTAGAAGGTTTCTGGGGAAAGAAAATAAAGAGATGCAGGTGGTTTAGGAAGATAAATTTCAACTGTATTTCAAGGAGACTCACCATAAGAGAAGGTGTCTGGCATGGGGACCCCATGTCCAGCCAGTTCTTGGAATGTCCAGAATTTGTTGATGCAATTTAAGATGCTTTGTGGGCGGTTGACCAAGCGGCAGCCCAGCTTCTCCAGATGTCGCAGGACAGTGATGTCGCTGTCCGATTGCACTGAGGGCGTGGGCACCCGCACGAGCACCACGTCCGGGAAGGTGGTGAGGGCCTTCTGGTTCAGCTGGAGGCCTGCAATCCAAGGACAAAGGTGAGTGTTGTGCTTGCCATCATTAGTCCACCAGCAGAACTGGTTCCAACAGACTCCTCAAGACTGAACCTAGCAGGAACGGAGCCTCAAAAACAACCATCTGGACATCCCAGTGTAACAAAAAAACTCTACAGGCAACCCTACACTTCAAACAAATGGGCAGAGCATGATCATGAGGAAACACAAAGGAATGAACAGGAAAAAAGCAGTGTATCAAGAATAATCCAAGTTAGAAGAATCCATAGGAGATATGGAGTCTAGCACTTTCCCTCTATTAGGACTAGTACTACTCAAAGTGTAGTGGCTTACGAGGCCAAAGGCTTAATGAAAAGAAAACAGTGTAGCCCATTTTAGGAATCCCTTCCATTCTTTTATGACTTAACCTTTACAAGTTTATCTGACTGGAACATCATGCAACCATTTAAATGATTTCTATCAATATAATAAAAGCACAAATGTCAATGTGAAGTGAAAAAATAAGATATAAAATTATAAATAATGCATTATGATCTCAACTATGTAAACAGACACAAGTTGAAAATGGCTGGAAGGAAATATACCAACATTTTAACAGTGGGTAATGGGAGTACAGGTAATTTCTTCTTTATATTTTATACTTGTGTATATTTTCTGAAAGTTCTCCAAGCACATATTACCTTTATAACAAAAAAGCTTTAAAAAAATCAACTCAATATTAAACAAAACTGAATGCATTTATGGAGTGAAAAGACCTGAAGCTGTATTACACTGGGTTCGTTGGGAGTATTAGCTTGAAGTGGAGACTCAAAAGAACATGAGCACAGTCTTCGAATTTCTTAAAGGCTTCAGTGCAGAAGACTTATTTGTTTTGTCTTCTATGACTCTAAGAGATAGAGCTATCCATAAAAGCATTATTTTGTCTCTGTTCACTGCTGTAAACTCAGGCCCTAGATTAGTGCCTGGTGCATAGCAGCCACTCCTTGTTTGTTGAATTGGATGAAAGTTACAGGGAGACAGATTTGGGCTCAACAAAAGGGATACTTTTCCACCCCCTTCGGATGTAATGGGCTGAGGCTCACTGGTCACTCAAGGATGGTACAGAGGGAATGCAAAGGTCAGAGGGGCTAGCAGCAAATCACTTGGTCCCTTCAGCCCTGGCATCCTATGGCTTGTATTACTCTAAGTACTTACCTAGGTGTCTACAGTGCACCCGGCATCTGGGGAGGGAATGACGGAGAGAGGAAATGGGATGAGTAGGGCAATGAGAAGTAAGTTCAAGGAACGACTTGGCTTGCCTTATGAACCTTACAGAGGTCTCTCAAATGCTCTAAAGAAAACCTTGAAAACACACTTTACAGAACCACCTTATAGGATTTAACCTAAAGCACTTCCTATTTCATAACTGATATTATACTGCATAACCACAACCATATAATTCCAAGAAAACAAAAGGTGCTAGTGAAGTTACAATTTCTCCATTAGAGGATGAATAATATCAATACAAATGCTCTAAACACAAAAATGAAAAACAAAACACCCACAAAACTACTACATGGCTCTCACTTGCACACTTTCCCCTAATTCTAGATGTTTCATGGATTAAAAAAGGCAGGGTGAGGGTGGGTGTAGTCATTACAATAAATTGTTTTCGGTACTTCTGCTGATAGTGTGAACCCAAGGAACCGGAACATGATTCCCTGGGATGAGTCATGAAGAGCATCCAGGTTATCTCTACTTCGCCATCACCAAACAGTACCATTTATATATGCTTTTACTGTTCTTTGAAAACTTTGCCACTTATAGCCCCTGGGGAAAGTAATATGAAAGGGGGGGGAGAAGTTAACCCTGTGTAGTAGCCTCAAAAGTGGTAGGAGAAGAAAGAAAGTATTCAAGTTGGTGAAAATGGTGAGTAAATACGGAACACCCAGGACAACATTACATAGTGAGATAATATATGTAAAAAATGCTTTGAAAACTATACAATACTATATATATGTAAGTCACTGGCATTATCATTACACAGACATTCTACTAAGCAAGGGAGGACAATTTATGGAGATTTTTACCACCTGATGAGAAAAATGGCTTTGCAACAGAAAAGTGACCTAGAAAAATGAGAAGCGGCAAAAACATCTGGCTTTCAAATCCCAACATGAGACCGCAGACAAACAGTTAAACTTCTGAATGGGAAGAATTCAGTCACTTCTGGAAATATCAACCACAAGTGGACAGAGACAGCTCAGCCTTAACAAGCAGATTCACATAGACCTAGGAAGTCTTACCAGGACTTCATCTCTCTTCTCCAAAGGTAAATCTTTGGGCCTGGCTCATTCCAACTGAATCCTTTAATAAATGAAGAATGGAATGGGTTAAAGTATAGCCCAAAAGGCTCTACCAAGCAGCTAGACAGGTCTAGTGTCTGACTCCGAACTGGCTGTCCGGCCCTGTGCCAAGAGGGCCATACCATGTGTAGGGCTGGAGCTGCAAAACTAATTCATCTTTGCCCACTGACACAGCTCTGACATTCTTGCTGTGGGCAACTTCACTTGCCCCCTGCTCAACCTGAGCATCTTCCCTGTCACATTTCTAGAAGTAGTAGATGCGAGGCTTCTGCTCATGGTGGCTTCAGCAGGAAAAGCAGTTCCACACAGCCATGGCCAAGGACCAGTTGGGTTTAAGGCTGGCCCTTGGCAGACCTGTCTGTGAACTCTGACACCTTTATCCACTTAAGTAATCTCTGCTCCCTCTGCATCAACATCGCCTCTCAGGAAAGGACCTGATAGACCTAACACAGGATGGAGCTTAATGTGTCACCTTCCCCAGGATCCTTAACATTTCCACTGTAATCTACAGGCCTCATGCCAAGGGCATGAGGAGCTGATGCAGGACACCAAGGAGGACAGGCCTCTGCTTGGCTGCCAGGAAATGGAAGGAAAGCCCTCCACGACGAGAGGCTCTTGCCCCCCAATAACAAGGGATTCCATGTGATTAAGTGCCCTAGCACTCTTGGGTGTCACCTTAACTTGGGGAGGCAGCTGAGTTACCTCTAGGATGTCTCCCAGACTCCCGCGTTGGACTTGAGATTTACTATGTTTAGTCTCAAACCACTTTTTTTTTAAAACTAAAATGATCACTTTGTCCCCAAATAGGTCAATAAGATAGTAGTGGAAAAAAGAACAGATCCCAAACTAAGTAGTGGAAAAAAGAACAGACCCCAAACTAGTTAGTACAGTGACCAATTGCCAACCTAGTCTAAATCAACTTTTTGAAACCCAAACAATGTTTTCTCCATATTAAAAAGAATAATCTACTTTCATGGGTAATTGTGCTCTGATTTCTTTTTGAACTATTTGGAAATATTTTAACATGTTAAAAACAAGACAGAAAACTGGGATAACTTTTCCCAAAGAATTGAGTCTGTTTTTTTCTAACCCATATATTGGGTTAAATTAAGTTAAATTCTCAAAACTAGACTTTTGCATTTGTATGTGCAATAGCAAGGAAATGTACTTTGTAATAAAGGAAAAATAGCCTTAGAAATGAGCAAATGATTATTGGAAAGTAGAGTTCTCAAACTTAAAAACCATTCTCAATCATTCATACCAATGGAGGGAAGTAGAAGCATGAATAATAAAAGGTGCCATAATTCAGATTTGAATTCAGCTAACATTTTTATTGAGCATCTGTTGTGTTTTTGGTTCTTTGCTACAAACTTTCACATATATTATCTCATTTAAATTAAAGACATCTTATAATACAGATCCTTGGAATAGATTTGACTGTAAATGTCTTTGTATTTACAGAAAACTGATGCATGATGAGTCACCACCCTCCCAACCTGTGCACATATGTACACCCTTGGATTCACAAAAGAAAGTTTCGACACTAAACTGGTTTCTAGTATGCTAGAAAAACCTTCATGTACAAAGTAAACTGCAGAAATAAAAAAACAGCAGGATATTTTAGCATGAGAGCAAACAAGCACCTCACTTATGGCAGCTTTTAGAATCATTTATTTTAGTAGGATCATGTAACAGTGGCTGATAGTGAAACTCTAAAAGTTGCCAAAAAGGAATCAACAATAAAGTGGATAACACTTCAGATGATCTTGTTATGAGGAAGATGTGTCATCCAAACATGATCTGGCTCATCTCCATCATTCTCTAGCTTTTCCCTCATTTCTTTCTATAACACCCCCAGAATTTTCTCATAAGGAAGTTATTTTTATTCTTTTTTGTTTAGAGACAGGGTCTCACTCTGTTGCCCAGACTGCAGTGCAGTGTCATGATCATAGCTCACTGTAGCCTCAAACGCCTGGGCTCAAGCAATCCTCTCGCCTTAGCCTCCCTAGTAGCTGAGACTACAGGAGCATGCCACTACATCCAGCTATTTTTTAAATTTTTCTGTAGAAACGAGGTCTTGTTATGTTGCCCAGATTGCTCTCAAACTGCTGGTCTCAAGCAATCCTCCCACCCTGGCCTCCCAAAGTGCTGAGATTAAGGCATGAGCCACTACGCCTGGCAAGTTATTTTTATTCTTAACGAGTAGAGGCTATCTCCACTCCTCCTTCACTTTTAAAGTACTTGTTACAACGTCCATAGAAGTCTCACCTCCATCTCGTTAAAACCTACAGTCATTTATGTGACCATTTTCTCTTTCCACCAACTGCTATTTTGAGGTCATTTAATTCAATCCAACCTTTATTGAACTGTTGGTATGAGTCAGAAACACTATTAAACATGAATACAAAGATGAACCAGGTGGTCCCTGCCTACCAGGAGCTTATAGTTTCCTCATGGAGAAAGAGACACAACTTAAATATTCATTCATTCATGCATTCATTCACTCATAAAACCCATCTATTGTTTCAGGTATTCCTTCAGTGAATATTTATTTAGCACCTACTTTAAGCCAAACCCAGTGTTAGTTTGGGTTTCCCCAGAAGCACACTCTGAGACAAGGATTTAAGTGCAAATACTCCATTTGGGTAGTAAATTCAGGA